AGGAATTACAGCCCAGCCAGCTTCCCAGGCCCGGGATGAGAGCTCTGCCCACTCGCTGCTTTCCAACCTGATCAGTTCTGTGATGGCCTGCAGGAAAGCACCCTGCTCCACACACCAGAGGCGCTGCTGTTGTAGCTGCTGATCCCACCTTAGCAGACACAGCCTGTGCCACACGAGGCTCATGCCGGGAGCTTCCACCTTCCTGTCATTCACACCGGGTTCTTCATTCATAAATCTACTGGAAAATCTCCCTCCAATCTCACTGCCTGCTTTCTCAGAGTCCAGGCCAAACTGCCATTGACCTTCCCAGCAGCCAACTGCACCTCAGCACTACGGATTTCCTCCTCGTTTCCGCAGGATGCTCACACCTTTCCATAACATCACACTGCCAAAGGAAGCGTCCCACTGCTTCCCCGACTCCACAGCCACTAAAAATAACACAGCCCTTCGGTGCTTTCAGTTCTATTCAGCACTCTGGTAGATTCTTCAGTCATTTCCTACTGCACAGCCACCACGTTCTGCTGACTTCTTGGATTTCTCATACAGCACACAGTTAACGTGGGAAGGCTGCGGTGTTCCCTTCCTTGCTGTGATCCTCCCTTTGCACAGCCATGACATTAAGCACACGAAGCCCAGAAATCCCACCAGCCACCAGGATGGGCTCACACAGCCCATCAGCACTGGGAGTCCCACAGCAGGAATTCCTATCACTCGTGGAATTTCTGATCTATAACCTACACACCTGTAGGAATCACATATTGCAGCAAAGTTGTGCATCGCATTGCCAATTCAGAAAATCCAGCTGGCCACAGAGCAGCACGGGCTGCCCTGCACAGCAGCCAGGAGCCCCACAGCATCAGAGCCCAAGAGGCGGAAGGCAGAGGCAGCACAGCTGGTGTCAGACACACCTCCAGCAGCCATGGGAGCAGGGCTCTCACTGACAGCTCTTCGGCTGCTTGAGTGTCTCCATGGAAACTTCCATCCTTCAGAAATTCTAATATGCAGCTACGCACTTACTGCGCTTTGTGCTCCACGTAAGACACCAACAGAACTGAGAGCACTGCAATATCTGCTCCATTAGTCAGGCCTGCTTCAGCTGCGAGGTGCATTAGAGAAGGAAAAGCTCCCTGCACTCCTCACCTTACAGCAAACCCCTCCGAGGCACACAGCAGTGCTTTTCTGCTTTACACACTTTGCCAACAGCATTTTGTTACTCCATAGCATGGCCGTAAGCTCTGCAGGACAGAAGCTCTCTATAAAATGAAGACAACAGGTTAATTGGGGTCTAAACAAACAGAAACCAAACAACACAGCAGATAAGATACTGTTCAAGAACTCATTTTCCTTACTTTCATTTATATGCTGCCTTTTATAATTCAAACCAAGCTGCAGTGCCAGAAAATGGCAGACATGTCTGTGGAAGCCAGACATGCAACATGGGATTCTACTGAAGGGAAAAGACCACCACGAAACAAAGACCAAAACACTCCTGGCCACCTCTCAGAAGGGAGCAGAAGGGGCAGAGGCGAAACAGAACCAAGCAGGGAGCATCAACCAGCCACATTCTGGGGCCTCCGCAATCCCGTTCACCTTGTCTCTTCTGGAAAAAGCAGAAGGAACTGCTCCTGAGTCGTGGTGTGAACAAAAGGCTCAGCCACCTACAGCTCCACCCTCCCTTACACGCAGAAGGCAAGTCCCAGCTCTCTGCTAACACAAATACGGAGCACAGACATTCAAGTGTTTGGAAAGCACAGCCCACCTTGGCGAGGATTCACACGGACGAGGAGCAGTGATTTACCTGAACCAGGAGCCCAGGATGGCCGACCAGCACCCTACCTGCAGGGTGTCAGATCCCACCCTCTTACAGCACAGCACTGGGTATTTCCATTCCATCACTTCTTTTTAACATCTCTGAACACCACCGCGATGCCCAGAACATCATTAACGGGGAGGAAAAATAAAATAAAAGCCAGACCTGGGCTCTGAAAAGTCAAGGCTTAAACCTGAGAACACTTCCATCTCTGAGCATTACACAAAAAGTGAGTATGCAGAAAGACAAAGTAAGAGAACTCAAAAGGAAATGGAAGAGAACAATTCACAAGACTTGGAAAATTAGTTTGATTGCAGAGTCTGCGAGTTAAGAATGAAAGTGACAACTCAGGGTAAAGTCAAAAGACTCAGGCACTCCAGAATTCTGACAGGCTTTCAGGCACCTCAGCCTGCTCCTGTGCAGCAGGCAGTGAATATTTCATGCTGTTCATTCTGAGGAGTCAGGCCTGCCTGGTCAGTTAAAAAACAAATCAACAGTTGGGAAAGAAAAAAAAATAAAGTAGTAGTATGTATGATCATAAGCATCCACAAGGAAGCAATCCCACAACACCAACAGTGCCATGAGCTCCTGCAGGCGCCAGGCCCACGCCTGCCCTCAGCCCTCCACCTGCTCAAGCACCAGGAAAGCTTCCTGGGAGCATCGGGGCTGCTTGTGCCAATTGTGGACATTTAGCATCCTCAGCAAGCAGCTGTCAAATCATTCACAGACAAAAAAAATCCAAAAGACAGAGCAAAAAGATGAAAAATGTGAACAACTTCTCATTTTGGCTAAAATGATGACAAGATGCAACACCTGATGATGTCTCATCATCCCTGAGCACAGTGCTCTGCACTGCTCTTCTCTATGGGACTGCTCCTGAGCTGCCAGCAGTGCTGCCGTGCTGTGGGCAGTCAAACTTCATTCATACCCTTCTATAAACAACTTAACAACAAATTACTGCCTTATATCCATCCCACCTCAGCAACTCCTGCAAAACACCTCTCAAAGTACACAGAGATCTGCAAAGCCTCCAAGAGAAAAATACCACCCTTGTTAGAAAAAAATGTGAGTTTTATTCTTTGCTAAACAAAGCATTACAATCCCTGCAAGGGATGGGAATAAGTTTTGAGAAGAGAGGAACGGGGCCAGTGCCACCCATGGTATGACTGCCACAGGGCAGGCACAGCACAAAGCCCACTGCTACCAATGCCCGGCCAGGAAGAGACAGCTATCAGGAATTCTGAGCCGGCACAACAAAAGCTCAGATCGGGGATCCTTAGAACAAAGCTTTAGATCAGAAAGCTGGGTCTACAAGAACCTGGAAAACAGCCTGATTAAAAACTACCCATACCTGCACCTACAAGGCTCCAAGGCACCCAGCAGCAGTCATAACAGCAGCGCTTCCCACCCGCACAGAAGAGTCACACGGACGTTTCCCTCAGTCTTAGTAAAGCTGCTCTCTGGTACAACAGTTTGTAACAGCACACAGCTGAGCCGGACCGAGTCGCTGCCCTGCAGCAGCGCTTCGCCCAGCACAGCGGGACGGCTGGAATGCTCTGTTAGTGCAGCAAGCCTGAGGAACTGAAGCAAGGACTGCACAGCAACAGTAAGGCGCTGACAGCTCTGGGGAGTACTGGCAAACAGAGCCGGCACTGCTTTACAACGGGTTTTTGGTGTTTTTAAACGTTTTTACAATGCCTTCTCTGTCTCTTCGTTTGCTTGTTTAAGCTGTGAGCAGAATGCACAGATACACAACACAGAGCTAATTGCTGATCAGCCTCTTCCAAAATGCTTATCTTCACACTGGGCAATAGCATGCAGCCCTCCACACACGTGCTGTTGCTGATGGAAGCAAACAACTCGCAGTAAATGGCAGAGCCTCTTCATTCATTTATCTGGAACAACTACAGCAAACATCTAAGCGCAGTTATCTTGATTAGATGTTCCCAAGCAATCATCCCCCTTTCAAGGTGTTTACAATTCACGTTTAGATGCAGCACAGATCACAAACTGCACTTTTTTGGATCTCCTGGCTGCATAAGCACAACCCTCACTTGCCTCCATTAAGAGTTGTGATGTTAAAAAAGAGAAATAATTCCAATATTTGCTGTGACACCCGGCCAGCAGCCTGATTTCACAGAGAGCACTGCAGAGCATTCCAGATCAACGCCAGAGAACAACGAAGGAGCAGAAGAGGTGCACGATGCCAACACGCCCAAGGCCACGTGCCACACACACCACAGTTCCCATTCCCAAATCAGAATCCACAAGCAGCAAAGCTCCGTCTTTTAGGGAGCTCTTACACCACCTGGAGTTATTCACGCCAAGCACTTCCCACCAGAACCCAGCTACAGCCGCAGAGGTCGGGGAGCTCCGCCGCACAGACACACACCGCTGGCAGGACAGCAGGCGGAGCAGCACAACCCCAGCCCTGTGCAGCCCCGGCTCCCCACAGCCGCCCACCGCCCTCCCCCCCAGCACCCAACGCCTGCGCCCGGCTGGCACAGCGCCCTGCAGGGTCTGGGAAGAGCCCAGCGAGGGCCACGAAGAGGCCGAAGGGCCTGGAGCCGCTCTGTTATAAGGAAAGGCTGAGCGACCTGGGTCTGTTCGGCCTCAAGAAAAGACGACTCAGAGGGGAATAAGATCAGCGTCCATCAACACCTAAGGTGCCGGAGGCAAAGGGACGAGGCCAGACCACTTCCAGCAGTGCAGGCAACGGGACGAGGGGAAACGGCCACAAGCCGAAGCATAAAGGCGCGTGAGAACTTCAGCGAGGTGACGGCGCGCCGGGATGGGCCGCACTCGAGGCGTGCGCCTTCCTCCGGAGAGCCCGCAACCCGCGCGGACCGGCAGCCGTGCGGCAGGGGCGACACCGCGATACAGCGAAGCACGCGGCTCCTCCCAGCCCCTCAGTTCTGTGATTCCGCTCCTCGCCGCCGCAGCATGACTGCGGTAACGCGATTTAAGGGCGCTCGAGGCAAACTCTCCGCAACGGGACGCTGACGGCCCGGCTGCCCGGAGCTCTCAGCCGCACACAGCGAGCGGAGCGAGCGGCCACCGCCGGCAGGGCACGGAGCAACGGTAACAGCGGGCGGCCAGAGCCGGAGCGCCGCCAAAGACTGCGGGGACCGGGAGCCAGGATAACCCCAAACCCGGCACCGCTCCGGCCGGCCGCCCTCAGCACGGGCACCTCCTCACCTCCTCGCCCGCGCAGCCGCCCGAGCGCCACCTCCACCGTCCGACAGCCGCGCTGGGACGAAGCTCCCGCTCGCACTCACGGCTCCGCTCGGCCCCGCCACGCTGCGCGCCCCGCACCGAACTCTCGAGAAGGCCGGCGGCTTTCGCACCTCGGCCTGGCACCGCCCCGAGCCCCGCGAGCACCAATCACCGCGCGCCGCGGGAGGCCGGGCCAATAGGAGCGCCGGCCCGGCGCGCGGCTCTGCTTGGCGGGGCGCTGCAGCTGCGCAGTGTTGGCGGCGCTGAGCACGGGGCGCAGCTGTGCGGGTTGCGCACCAGGAGGGCGCGGAGGGCAGTGCAGGAGCTGCACGGCGCGAGGCGGACCGTGTGCTCGTCGTGCTTCGGGATGCCTGGCGTTGGTCGCTGCTTTTTCAGAGGATGCCGTTCCTGTTTCCATAGTGAGATCTTCTCCCGCTTTTCCTCACGGCGCTGCCGCGGGATCATTAATTTCTTTGCTGCTGGTTTACGTTAGTGGCACAACTCCCCCCAGCCCCATGGATTACAGACTGACAGCAAAGCAGGTTCGTGCTGTGACCCGCACGTACACCGTCAGGCCGTGCCCGTTTTGCTCTCTGAAGCCTTTGCTGACCTTCGCTGCTGCTGACACGGATCCCAAGCGAGCAGCAGCGGCGCACAGCGGCTCTCTGTCCCGGCTCGCGCTGCCCCACGAGGGCACCGTTAGCGGTGCGCCGCCTCAGCGCTGCCAGGGAGCACGAAAACACGTGCGGCAGCTCATAAAGGAGCTGTGATTAGTTTTTAAGTAATTAAGTGACACCGTAGGAAATCCATTTTCCCAGGAGGTAGACTTGTTTGCTTCCAGCCTGGTTTTCTGTACACACTGCTAACTGCATGGTGACCTCACGTGCTTTAGGGCTAAAAACGATACTGATAATTTAGAGATACTCCAGAGGAATACGGAGATTCGGACTTACCCTGCACACCAGCAGGTTTTCCTTAACTGCAGGGTGTTTCTAGCAGCTGTTTCCCCTTTCTGTCCACCATTGCTTTATATTCCTGGGAGGAAAAAAAAGAAAAAAAAAAACAACACCTTTTTCAAAATGCACAACGGATGAAATAAAGTTAATGATTCAGTTTGTGCTTTTGTTTTGGCCTTCTGTTACCCTAATGCCAAGTCTGCAGGGAGGGGTGCAAAGCTGGAGCTCTGGGGTCCCCCTGAGCACACAGCACTGCTCGCAGCCCAGCTCTGCACACTGCTTCTGTGCCTCTCACATTTCTTTATCGCTTTGAATCAGCTTCTCTTTGCTTTATTTCTTCCTGCTCAGATCTCCAAAGGATTCCGATTTGGATATTTTCTGATCACCTTTCCTACTTCCTCCTTCAAATTATTCATGCCTGATACAGCTGCTACCCCAAATCCATTCACTGCCCCTCACCTGACCCTCAGGCTTCGCTCATCCTGGCTGGCTGTTGGTTAACACCCCCTGTCCTTTTACTGACCCGAGCTCGTAGCCTCAATCAGCTATGACTGCTTTCTCCACTTACAGCCACTAGCTAATTCACACCCTGTTCTTTGACATCATCTCTCAAAAATTTTTCCTCCTGAACTGTATTGCCAAAATCATCCACACTTGCACTATTTCTTTTGCCCCATTTCATGCAACTCTCTCCCAGCGTGAACCTTGTCCACACCATCTCTCCTCCTTCAGAGCATCTGAAATGCAGCTGCAGAATCCTTGCTGTCCGGGCAGCCCGACCACCAGCCTCACAGGGCTGCATGTTCCAGCACGGCTCTGGGGGAGAGCTGGAAAAGCAAAGGAAAAGCCACGAGAAGCTCTCGGAGTTTCGTCAGGAAAACAGAAGGAAAACTCTTTCTATGAAATGGGCGTTTCACTTCATTTTAAAAATCTTTTTTTAATTAAACTCAGCCCAGTTTCTGAAAGAAAATACAAAAATACGTAATGGAATGAAATTATGAATGAACACTGAAATTAAATGTTAGCTTTTAAAAATATTCCTCAGCCAAACTGTTTGTTTAATTGAGCTTAACCCGAACACAACTCATATTGTTGAGCAAAGTGTTGACATCCAAGAACATCCATCCAGAGACCGACTCTATGAGGATGGCTGCTGTGGTTTTTGCCCTGAATGCACTCACATGAGAACCTACGGGAGTCAGGCACAGATGAGAGCACACTGAATTCTCATCTTAAGGCATTCAAATTTCACTTGCAATAGGAGGTTGACTGGAGAAGAAGGAGGTACGGTGTTCGGGTCTCCTCACTGCTGGGCTATTAGGAGCAGCTGTAATAACTGTTTCTTAAGTGTTTCATCAAGGGGAGCAACTATAGCAGATCCTCTTGTGGTTCTTCCCCAAGGAACTGTTGATTTTAAACTAATTTGCAGTTCCTCTTCCACTTTTCATGCCATTCAGCATGTATTATTACAGCGGCTGCCTGTCTGTGTTTGCGTATCGGTCAGCGGAGGCGTTTTGTTACTGCACAGCCTGCAATAACCATGGCTTATTGCAATAACCTCCAGGTGCTGGTTTGGCTGCGGGGCACTTGGCAGCACCCGCCGATTCCATCTCCTGCCACTCAGCCTCTGCTGCTGCTGCTCAGCCATTCTGGAAGCTGCAAAAGGAAGAATCCGACAGAGCCATTGCCTGGTAATTGCTGTGAGGCCACACGCAGCCCCCAGATGCAGCCTTTGCCTGTCGTGTAGCTGTCTTCACCTGTGATTTTAGAAGAATGAAGCTGTCTGGAAGAGGCTCTCATACACTGAAATCAGTTTTAGAATTTTTTTCGTTCATGTCAACCATATTTAGCCTTCCAAACGCTGCACCACTCCTCAAGTTTTATCTTCAGCCCTGGGCTGTCTAGGGAGGCACGTCAGCCTTCCTAAGCTTAACATAACACCTAAATAAAGCCTATGCGTGAAAGAAATGCTTTTCTTTTTTTCGTATTTGACTCAAGGACTATTTTAGTCTGCTCTGCATTCTTCCTGATAAGCCATCTTTGTGTTTGCCCTAACCAGATGCACCAACAGCAACTGGAGCTTTTTGGATGTTTCCCAGCTATTCTGTGTGGTTGCCATTGAGTGGAAGGCTGCTTCCTTTTTGCAGTTCTCTGACATTTCTGGAGGCCGAGAACGACTTGCAGTGGGCAGTCCTTTATAAAGCTCTGTGCAACTCTCACTTTTATCTTCAGCGGCACAGGAGCTTCCCAACAGCATTTTATTACATCTCCAGCCTGAAGCTGTTAATTTATACTACTAGCTACTCCTATATCGTGCCTTATGAACACTGGAATGATAAATGCTTTCACTTTTTAATTACATGAGTCTCAATGGGAAAAATAAAATATTTTGACCCCTGGAAGATTGATGTAAAATATGCTTCTCCCTGCTCCCTGCTTTACAAGGCAAGTGTTCTTCAGCAATTGCTCCATTAAACTTCCAAGAGGCAAAGAAAATCATTTTGCTGATATGCTTAATCACTACCCATACATCTCTAAGCACACATGGTTGCCATTACATCTGAAAAGCAAACGTCCCTGAACATCATCACATACAACAACGTTTTTGGCTGGGGACGCACAGATGACAGCATTGCTTCAGCACAGCTCACAGGCAGAGGAGCAGCAGCAGGACGAGCACAGCGCTGCCACTGCCCAGCCCTGCAGCCAGCCCAACCTTCTGCCCTGCACTGCTGCGCCTGGAAGGATTTCAGCAAGCTCAGCTTTGGAGAAAACATGGATTCAGTATTCCTCTAAGCCATCACTGCTGAGCTGATAAGAATGACTTTTTTCTTGAAAGAACTCAAGTTGCAGCTGATTCCTGATATGTTTCTGTCTCTGTATTACTTTGCCTGTCAGTATTACATTCCCGAGTTGTGGAAAGTGTCTGCATTTCTTTAACTATTCCTACTTTCCTATTTCTAAGTCATTTTGAACTCAGGTTGACCCACGAGCCAGTATTTCATGGAGAAGCACACATAAATCTCTATGCATGTCACTGCAGGAACCACCTCAGCCTTAAGGTCCTGCTTTTTGTTCATCATTTACTTGGAGAAGAAAAAAATGGCCAGAGTTTGGTTCTACAAGGATTATCCCCAACAACACTACAAATACTTACAGCAATGTTCACAATAAGCTGAAGAGGATTTTCCTTTGCATGTGAAGGAACACTCCCTGCAGAACCACCTCACATAAAATCACTGTCCCTCCTGCTCACATTTTTAAGGATTATTGATGCTCCTGTAAAAGAGACATAAATCAGGATGTTAGAATAACTCAGCATCATTTAAGTTAAATGACATTTAAGAAAAAAAATCAGGACGGTTTTCTCCGAGTCATAGTTTGACATCCTTACAACAAGAAGAGACATTTTAGCTCCATGAGAACCACTAACACAAACTTTCTCCTTTGGAATGTTTAAGCTTCAGTAGGAAAAAAGTCCTGTTCAGAAGGGGCCCATTGGAAGCACTGCGGCTTGGGATTCCATTAACCCCAAGCAGATCAAATCTCTATTTAGATACTCTTTAACAAAAACATACTTCGACTTGAAAAAGAAATTCCACAAATACTGTCAGTCTTCATACAAAAAGTCTAGCAACCTTTCATGACCTGTTATCTGTGATATGGAACAATGCTGTGTGCTATTCTCTCATATCCTCCTCCATCAGACCCATTACACTGAAGCAGGAATGTGAGCAGAGGAAGATGCACCGCAGCAGGCGCTGGGCTGTGACATCAGTGGGCTCGAGCAGCCTCCTGCCTTCTGCACTTGGTTTTTGTAGAACGCCGTTTATTTATTTTACGGTGTGCTTAGTTTTTATTAAAGTGATTTTTCCATAAAGCTTTAAGCATAATAAACCAACCTCAATGAGCTTTTTTTGGCACTCACTGTGCACTTTGAAATAGCATTATTGTCTAGAGACTTTTATAACCTTTAAAACACTGTAGAAACAATTAAGCTTGCCTTCCTTAAAATGAAGTCTTTTTTGCTCCATTCAGCTCCGTGACTGCTGAGGTCTCAATTTCAAGACCACAAGTTTTGCTTTAAGCAATAATTAAAACTAAAACAA